AAGCGTGAGCCACCGCGCCCGGCCTAAAGTCTGCTTTTAACCTCAATGTATTTCTTAAATTGAATGTAAGACTCTTAAAATGTAAGAAATAAGAATAGACCTATGTTTTTTGATAAATGTAATGTATTTTAGCAAACTATATAGATATATCCAGCATATATTACATGAACTTTTTTTTTTTTAAGTCAGAACTATGGCTGAGCATGAACTCTTTTTTTATGGGTGTATATATATATGTATAGAAGATGAAAGGCAAGTTATATATTAAAATGTTATCTCTTTACCTCATCTGCAATTAGAATAAAAAAATAATAAAAAAAATGTTATGTCTGGTATACAGACTTGAGTAGCTTTTTGGGGGTACTTTTTTCTATATATACCTTTTATCTTCTTTATACCTTCTAAATGTTCTGAATTTTTTACTCTGATTATATGTCACTTTCACAGTAAGGAAAACAGTAAATGTTTTAATAAAAGTTACATTGAAGCCAGGGATAATGGCATGTGCCTACAGTCCCACCTCCTTGAGAGTCTGAGACAAGAGGATCATATGTGCCCTGGAGTTTGAGGCCTGCCAGGGCAACATAACAAGATCCCATATCTATTTTTTAAAAAAAAGTTACATTGGAAAATAGAGATTCACTGTTAATATTTTACTGTCTCGTTTAGGTAGTACATCAAATGTGCTATTTTCTACTGAAGATCCAGTTGAAGATGCAGTTTTTGGAGAAGTTCCTAATCTCAAGAAGAATGGTGATAGAGGAGAAAAAAGACAAAAGCATTTTTCAGAGAGGAGTTGCAGTTTTAGTTCTGAAAGTCGAGCAGGAATGTTGCTTAAGAAGAGCAGTTTGGATTTGAATTCAAGTGAAATGGCCGTCATGATGGGAGCAGACGCCAGGATTCTCACAGCAGCATTGACGTGTCCTAAGACCTCTCCACTTCATGTCACAAGAACCCATAGCTTTGAGAATGTTAGCTGTCACCTATCCGACAGTAGGAATCGTGTGTCTGAAAGCACTTGGGATCCTGAGCACAGATCATCTCCGGTGCTAGAGATGCTTGAGGAAAGCCAGGAGTTTCTAGAGCCTGTGGTTGATGATGATGTAGCTAAAATAACAGTGTCAGAAAATACATATGATAGTCTACAAAGTGATAGTAACAGTAAGCAGCCAAGAGACTTAAAAACAGGATCCAAAGATCTGATGAATAAGAGAAGTAGTTTATATGGTGTTGCTAAAGCTGTTGAGAGGGAAGATGTTGAAACTGGACTAGATCCTTTGTCGCTTTTAGCCACTGAATGTACAGGAGAAAAAACTCCTGATTCTGAAGATAAGGTGTTTTCTCCAGTTATTGCACGTAATCTGGCTGATGAAATCGAAAGCTATATGAACCTAAAAAGTCCCCTGGGTAGTAAATCTTCCAGTATGGAATTACACAGAGAGGGAAACAGAGAGTCTGGCACTACCACTCTGCTTATTCACCCTTTAGAGAGGAGGTCAAGCCTACCTTTAGAGCCTGGTCTGCCAGCACAGGAAAATCCTGAAAGTGAAAAGAGCTCCCCTGCCATGTCCAAGTCTAAAACTTTTACTGGGCGTTTCAAGCCGCAGACTCCCTCTCGAACTCATAAAGAACGTTCCACTTCTTTGTCAGCGCTAGTGCGTTCTTCACCACATGGCTCACTGGGTTCTGTAGTAAATTCTTTGTCAGGGCTAAAGCTGGAGAGTATACTGTCAGGGCCCAAGATGGATGTCCTAAAATCTGGTGTGAAACAAGCAGCAACAGTAGCCACTAAGATGTGGGGAGCTGTGACGTCTGCCTACAACTACTCAGATGATGAGGTATGAGAGTTTTATGTGTGTAGTCTATCTGACGTTGCAAAGTTTATAGTATCGTTTAAAAATACATGTATTATTATTTAGAGATTTCTGGTAACTTTTGTTTTTATATTTTAAAACTTTATACATATTTGGTTTCTTTCTTGAAGTAATTTGAACATATATGTAAGGAAATTAATAATGTAGAAATAGAATATCAGGACTACTTTATAATTCCATAAATCATTCTAAACTAAAATATTAAGTTTATTTCTTTAAAAGTATTAGTGATTAATATTTGAAGTTAATAATTCCATATTATAGTTGCAGAGCACTTCTTAAAAACTTTTACTTATCTCCTTAATATATCTGAAATCAACCTGCATCTTAATCCACAGATTTTATACTATGTGACAAAAATGATTAAGTCTTTAAAGAAATTATTATAAGTAGAGTTAATCATTAGATCTTTTTATGAAAATAGAAGTGGGGAAATTTTGCTTGTTTTACAGAAAAGTTAACTAAAATCTCACCTTGTGTTCAAAAAATTATATAGTACTTGAGTACTTTAATAGGAAATATCTTTAATGTTTGCTACTGTTATTGTAACAGTATATTCTAGGTACTGTTGTAAGCTATATATCTGTTTTTATACATGAATATGTGCACACACACACATATATTTGTTTAATTTTCATAACAACCCCATGAGGGTGGTACTATCGTTATCCTCATTTTATAGATGACTTATGAGGTTCAGAGAGATAAATTAGCTTTCCAAGATCATGTAACTAGTGAGTGGTAGATCTAGGATTTAAGGTCAAAGAGGTTGGCTCTAGAGTCCATGCTCTCACCTTAGAAGCAATGTCTTAGGAGAAGATATCAAAGAGCAATATATTAAAAGGCTGTCTAGAAAAAGCAAAGCAGGTGATATCTAAGTTGGGATTTGAAGGATAAATTTGAAATTTTAGGTTAATTATGGCAGTAAAGTGGCCACAAGGGTATATCTGAGAGAATAATGTGAAAAAACACGGAAGCTTAAAACATCATGCATTTTCAAGGTCATGTAATTAATTTCAAATTGTAAAGGTCCACATAGGAATTAGAGATATGGGAAAAGAAATTGGACGAATAAGACTTGTATACCATTTGAAGGAAAACACCATTCTATAGGCAAAATATTAATTCAATTAAAAGTACAGTGTTGAGTATTTTAAGACAAACTGTATTTTATATTTAAAGAGCTTACAAGGTCAGTCAAGGAAAGGCAAGATAAAATACCTTCCAAAGTGTCTTAACCTGGTATTATGATTAAAAAAAACCCAAC